TCAAAGCAGCTTTACAGTGGCGAACAGGAGAATACTGTAGTGACTGAGTGAGTCAAACAGCTGAAAAACTATAGTAAACAGTTTGTTGTTGATTCGGTTCAGTTCAGAGACATTGTGAGAGTATTAAAAAACTCAAATGATGACTCCATGAACGTTACAGTCTACAGCTGCATCAGTGTAGTTGACTGAAGACGAGTGCTGAAGATGCAGAAAGACTGCCTGGAATTCACAACAGTTACTACACAAGTCGAACGGAAAGAAAGCCTAACCTTTCCAAAAAGAAGAAAGAGAGTTTGGATGCTTAACAGGAATTTTGTGGCGTATAACAGAAAGAACTTGCCTCTCCAGACACACACTGACTGACATCTCAATAGCAGAAGATGGTTTTTATACGGAAAGATGCTCACTGGTATTCAGAGTGACAGAGTCAACGAACAAAACAAAGACGCATTCAGTTTGAGGAGGTGAAAGAGTGGATGTGTGGAAAGAGAAAGGCCAGACTCAGAGGCAGACATAGATGAAGACTGAGTCAATACAATTTGCTGAACGAAAGATGGCATTCATCGGCAAAAAGATAGGCCTTTAACTTTTTTTCTTAGATAAAAATGGTCATCTCCTTAAAAGAATAGATTTTTGAAGTGTTCACCCATGTTTCATGCTTCTTTCTTCTGCAGAACACGAGAGAAGGAATTGTGCAGTTGTTCTGCTAATATTCCTTAAGAAGCACACCTGACTGAATGAGCTGTCGATGTCAGGAGAATAACATAATAACGCTTGGTATTTTAATGTGATGTGGTAAATCACTGGAAGAGCTCTTCTCAGGCTGCTGCATTCTTTTGTTTTCTGCTGTAACAATATGAAAAAAGACAACATACAGTGGGGAAAAAAAGTATTTAGTCAGCCACCAATTGTGCAAGTTCTCCCACTTAAAAAGGCCTGTAATTTTCATCATAGGTATACCTCAACTATGAGAGACAAAATGAGGGAAAAAAATCCAGAAAATCACATTGTAGGATTTTTAAAGAATTTATTTGCAAATTATGGTGGAAAATAAGTATTTGGTCAATAACTAAATTCTGACTAAATACTTTTTTGCCCCACTGTATACTGCACATTTCTGGTCTGAAAGGATTCTCTCATTTGTCCAAGTCGGATGTGTTCAAATGTTATTGTGTCCCTTTTTAACTTCTAAATCATATTTGTTATTTGTTGTAACGATGGAAATGTGAAATATCATCACTCAGTGTTCCAGTTAATGAATATTTTTGATTTAGGATGTTGCACAATATAACAGACCCCTGGGTCTGGTGGAAAATAATAATTATTATAATTCAGATAATGAAATAAAAGGAGTACGGATGGATGCGAAAACCTTGGGATTGTCCATAAATGCATGAAAGTGTCCCTTGTAATCGAGGAAAGACAAGATCCAGAGAGCAATAGAAACATGAGAAGAGAAGTCACCCAACAATAGTCCATGCTCTTAGTCCTTGTACCCCAAGAGATGTCAGTAAAGTTCATCAACAGGAATCCATTTGATCTCTCACTTCATGAACTACCAAGAAAGCAGTTGACATAATGTCTCAAGAAGTCCTTTTTTTCGATTGAGCCGGAAACCAAATGTTTCTCAGTCAGGACAGCTTGACTTGTGGCGATGCAGCAGGAAAGCCATGCTTTCTTCTGCCCAATCTATCTTCTTCTACTACATACCTGACTTTTAAACCCAGAATCTGAACGCACTAGCGCCCCCTTATAGTGCGTAGTTGAAGCGTGATAACAGACCAAAATCTGTTACAGTAATAAGGGCACATTACTACAGTTTCTGGAGATATTCATGGTATGTTTAAAGTAATTTGTTAATGCTTTTACACAATTTTTTTTAATGTTTGATGGTTGAAGGGTGAGTACAATAATTTCACCTTGTTATGTCCAGTTTTTGAACCTGCTTGATAGAGCAAATCTTTTGTTGATTGTTTACAGAAGTTACTCCCTTAATTTGTGCAAAGCGTCAGGGGAAAAAAGCGGATATGATGAAAATATTTCCAAATAAATCCAAAGCAGAAGTGTCTCCCATCTCTGAGCTACACAGGTGTTTGGCTCCTGAATGATTCTGCATTTTGAACAAATTGACTGAGTGAATGATTCAATAGCCCATTCACAAAATCATTAATCACTTGCTTCATTCCTGAATAAATCAGTCCTTTTGAACAAATTGAATGATTCCATGACTCATTACTTAAGGCAGTGACATACTGTAACATTTAGATATAAGTTTGGCATGTGCATAATAATGATGCATCAGCCAATGTGTTATTATAGGAAATAAATAGAAATATTCTCTCATTTAGTTGTTATAGCAAAATGTGCTGGCTAGGGGCCTGGGTAAACGTTTACAGAATGTATAAATCACTTATGATGCAATTTTTTATTATTATTTTAAATATAATTATTTTAAAAATATTATTCTATGACTTATAAACAGGCATATTTACATATTAAGTGCCCATATTTTAATGAAAGGTATGCTATAATAGCAACACTATGAATGCTAATTTAATAACTTAATTAGGTTGTAATGATCGAAGATGTGAACATGACTGAAATATCCATCTAATTCATGGAGCAGCTGAGTAATAACCCCATTAATCACAGTAAGTATTAAACAAATAGTATCACTAGTTTCAACACAACACTAGGGTCCCTCTGTGCCATTTCTGATGGCTCATCTTAAAAGTCATTTTCAAAAGTCTCATTTTAACTTTTTTCTTCTAAATAAAGACAAATCTAACAACGTGAATGTGTCCACAAATCCGTCATTAACAAGCAGACACAAAAACCTTTGATACTCAACATAATATACTGAGGGCATAAATCACATTTTCCAAGGCAAAAATCAGCTCAATTAACCTCAGAACTGTTTTGACTGAATAAAACTCACAAATATTGACAAAACTAAAAACAGTGTAGTCATTCGTCAAAAGAGTTGAGATGATATTTTGTGGTCAAGAGAGGAAATGAAGGTGGTCTTATTACCCTACGGTTAGCACAGCATTCCAGCCCTGATACGGAGCGCTTCAGATTTCCAGGCTTGTCAGAAACAGAAGTGAACCTCTATAACGAGGAATGGCAGACTACAGTAAGACTAGCTTTGTGTTAACATCCAGTAGCAAGAGAAAAAAAACTTCACAAATTTCCAGAAGAAGGAAAAATACAGAGCGATTGAGAGAGAAAGACGACAAATCTACCATCATTCCTCGGTTCTTGTGGTTGTAGTATTTGAATGTTATTTAATTGTATTATTATAAGTATAATTGGTAACTGAACAAAGTATAGTGGCATATTTATTTATTGTGCAGTATTTAGTTATGTGATGACATGCTTATGATTCAGCATTTTGCCATATTATAATTGAGGACAGTGAAATCAAAGTGCAATTTAGTTCATCCTGGGGAATGTGTAAATTTCATTTAGAAATAGATGATTACTAATAGATTATTATCAATTTACATATATAGTTCTACATCATAACAACCATACAGCATTCCAGCCCTGATACGGAGCGCTTCAGATTTCCAGGCTTGTCAGAAACAGAAGTGAACCTCTATAACGAGGAATGGCAGACTACAGTAAGAATAGCTTTGTGTTAACATCCAGTAGCAAGAGAAAAAAAACTTCACAAATTTCCAGAAGAAGGAAAAATACAGAGCGATTGAGAGAGAAAGACGACAAATCTACCGTCATTCCTCGGTTCTTGTGGTTGTAGTATTTGAATGTTATTTAATTGTATTATTATAAGTATAATTGGTAACTGAACAAAGTATAGTGGCATATTTATTTATTGTGCAGTATTTAGTTATGTGATGACATGCTTATGATTCAGCATTTTGCCATATTATAATTGAGGACAGTGAAATCAAAGTGCAATTTAGTTCATCCTGGGGAATTTCATTTAGAAATAGATGATTACTAATAGATTATTATCAATTTACATATATAGTTCTACATCATAACAACCACGCCACATGAAGAAACAATGGCTGAGCCCGTTCACCTGCTAGCGACACACACACACACACACACACACACACACACACACACACACCTAAAAAACACAG